TTACAACCTAGCGCTGTTCGTCAGATCGTACAGTTTACAACCTAGCGCTAGCTCGAAACGTCATCCTTTCATTAAATTAAATTATATAAAAACATGGCGACTGTTCAACCTATTATTTAATTTTGGAACTGTTTATATAGATAATATATTAAGTAACTTACAATGTAGTACACATGTTTTCAAACTGGGGGTCGCGACCCCTTAGAAGAAGTCTCAAGAGGGTCGCGAATTGTAAGTTATATTAAAGTTTGTTTAATATATTTTTAGCTTTAAAATAAACTATGTGTATTTTACTAATCTATAAGGTGTCGTCCTAACAGGAAATGTCCCAAGTTCATCTTTTTTCTAGATGCCTGAAATTGGGGGAGTGGTCGTGAGGGGTCCCATTTCTAAAAAAGTTTGAGAACTCCTAATGTATTCTATCTGTTAACTTCAACATGAGTTTTTCTGATTATTGTGACCTAAAAATAAAACGGAGTCATTAGTTAATTTACTGTTTGCTCGCAATAATTTCTGAAAGTATTTCATAAATAACGACACGGGCTCACCTATTATTATTATTGTAACTAACACTGCCATGGAATATATAGAATAAACTATTGGACACATATTTATTGACCAGGTCTTAAGAAGTGCTGTTGTCAACAAAATGAAAATGTCGTGAAAACGTCGAGCAGTTATTAAATTTAAGCACATGGTATTTTGTTTTTTTATCCAAGGATTTACGATACTAAATGAGTTGAGGATTTGATGTGCTATCGAAACACGATACTAAATGAATTGAGGATTTAGTATCGAAACACGATACTAAATGAGTTGAGGATTTGATGTGCTATCGAAACACGATACTAAATGAATTGAGGATTTGATGTGCTATCGAAACACGATACTAAATGAGTTGAGGATTTGATGTGCTATCGAAACACGATACTAAATGAATTGAGGATTTAATATCGAAACACGATACTAAATGAGTTGAGGATTTGATGTGCTATCGAAACACGATACTAAATGAGTTGAGGATTTGATGTGCTATCGAAACACGATACTAAATGAATTGAGGACTTGATGTGCTATCGAAACACGATACTAAATGAATTGAGGATTTAGTATCGAAACACGATACTAAATGAATTGAGGATTTGATGTGCTATCGAAACACGATACTAAATGAGTTGAGGATTTGATGTGCTATCGAAACGTGTAGATTCCCTCGATTATACCTAAACATTATCCGTTTCGGTTGGTCGGTAGAACATAACTGGATCCGTATATCGAGATAATTAGTAATATCTAAGTTAAACGTCTACTTGACTTTTCTTTTTCAATTTTCTTGAAGGAATGTTTTTCTATTAAAAAAATTCATTAAGTTATGACGATAGGCTAGAATATTTTTTCTTCTAAAAGCATAACAGTGTTTCTATAAAAAAACGTCTTTTTAACAATATCTTTGTAGGCTTCTACAATTTATGGTTTTTCGACAGTAAGTGGTTCACTTTTTAACTAGCGTATTATTCTCATAATTAAAAATGAAATAAATCTCTCGTTTACCTTAAGTTATAGAAATTAGTTTTGTCTATGTATTCTATGTGTTTACTATAAGTTATAGAAATTAGTTTTGTCTATGTATTCTATATGTTTACCATAAGTTATAAAAATAGTTTTGTCTATGTATTCTATGTGTTTTCCATATGTTATAAAAATAGTTTTGTCTATGTATTCTATGTGTTTACCATAAGTTATAAAAATTAGTTTTGTCTATGTATTCTATGTGTTTTCCATAAGTTATAAAAATTAGTTTTGTCTATGTATTCTATGTGTTTTTCATAAGTTATAAAAATTAGTTTTGTCTATGTATTCTATGTGTTTTCCATAAGTTATAAAAATTAGTTTTATTTTAATTAAAGTTTTTAATACCCATACCAGCCGTCTCTGCTATACATTTTGTCCAGGTATTCTATGTGTTTACCATAAGTTATACAAATTAGTTTTTTCTATAAGTTTTTTACCATAAGTCATAAAAATTAGTCTTGTCTATGTATTCTGTGTCTACCATAAGTTATAAACATTAGTTTTTCTATGTATTTTATGTAGTTATCATAAGTCATAAAAATTAGTTTTATCTGTGTATTCTATATTTTCTTTTTGGACCAATCGGTCTGCTGCATTTTCTATATTCAATACAATACACCATGTGGGCAAAAGGGCTAGAAATAACTTTCATTAGGTGAACACGTTTTATGTGTTCATTTTGTATTCCTACACAGCTGCATGTACTCTCGGGTGGTATTTCTCTGGGTGTGAATCAGACTGCTAACTGCTTCATAGACATTAATATTTTGGTGGGTGTTGAAATCGGACTGCTAACTGCCTCACAGACGTTAATACTTTAATGGGTGGTCCTGAATCGGTTTACTAACTGCTTTACAAATATTAACACCTTGACAGCCGTGTCTAGTTCACACGTTAACTTGTACCTGCAAAGTACCTTACATATTTTTAAAAGCAAGGATGTGTACAAGTCCAGATGTTGAGTAGACTTTTGCTGTGTTTAGTTGATGTTTGATACAACAATAACCACCAGGTTTATCAAACTTCGTAACCAATGCCGATATTGCTAGTTATTAGTATAGGCACCCTATCATGAGATTTCTACCTGAAACACTAGGAACGAATAAAAGGTGTTCTTAGTTAGCTATTTCAACGCGAAACTACACAATGGGTTATGTCCACCGCCGGGAATCGAATCCAGGATTTTAGAGTTATAAGTTCGTAAACTTCCTTCTGTCCCACCCGGGGAAATGAAAGAACAAACAAATAGAAACATTTTGTAATCCTTATTAGGATTTTGATTCTAATGTCACCTCATTCTTCTTTCCCATGATTATCCTACTTCGGTTTGTATTTCTCACGTATTTATATATTTATAACCATAATAATAGGGCCCGGCATGGCCGGGTGGTTAAGGTGCTCGACTCGCAATCAGAGGGTCGCGGGTTCGAATCCCCGTCACACCAAACATGCTCGCCCTTTCAGCCGTGGGGGCGTTATAATGTGACGGTCAATCCCACTATTCGTTGGTAAAAAGAGTAGCCCAAGAGTTGGTGGTGATGACTAGCTGCCTTCCCTCTAGTCTTACACTACCAAATTAGGGACGGCTAGCGCATATAGCCCTCGTGTAGCTTTGCGCGAAATTCAAAACAAAACAAACCATAATAATAATACACTAACCCGCGCATTATTTGTTTTATTTACTCCATTTGTCATAGAAAGAGAACAGAGAGAGAGAAAGAAGTCGGCAATTTTAAAACACTAGATGTCTCTGTAGTATGTTTCCAAGCGGGTAATGTGTTCAAAATATAACAACTCGTAGAAAAGAAAATGTGTCCTATGTTTCCTTAGCAAATCGTACGTAATTATACAGATATATTTTATTGATTCTTATTTTACAATAACAATGCATCTGAGTCTCTTGTCATTTATGGACAGGAATAAACGTATACGCTTAAACACAAAGTTGTCATTATATTTATTATTCTAGATTTAATTCAGCATGCAGAAATATGTGTGTAAAACACCTACGAGGTAAATCAATGGTCCGTCTTTTTGAAACTGAATTTTTACAACGTTTTTTGACTTGTTCCATGATATATGTTTCCAAGCGGATCATCTGTAAACTTTAGTACTTATAACGCTGAAAATCGGAGTTTGATCTTTACTAGGACAATGATTTATTTGTAAATATATGGCTTGCAACCATATATTATGATTTATTTGTAAATATATGGCTTGCAACCATATACTGTGATCTATTTGTTTGTTTTAGAGTAAAGCTGAATAATGGACTATCTGCTGATAAAATGCCTGTAATATGAGATTGTGGAAGATGTACTTTGTGTATGTAAAATGCCTGTAATATGAGATTGTGGAAGATGTACTTTGTGAATATAAAATGCTTTTATGTGTGTGACTTTGAAGGGAGTCTTAATCAATATAAAATTCATTGTGCATAAAAAATGCACTCACTTCATAACATGATTTAACAGAATTAAAAGTACGAATGGAAAGCCGTATTAAACTTCAGTGCGCTTAATCACAAGCTTAATTGTGGTACCTGATTTTATTGATAACAATTATATGAGTTAACTGTACTTCAATAATAAAGCTGCATATAAAAACTGATAGAGCTGTTCTTCTCCACTCGTTGTAAAGTCGATACGGTTGAGTTACATGTTAAATATATGGCTTGAAACCATATATTGCATAAAGGATTTCCTTCACAGTAAAAAAATACGAGAAATTTAAAGATAAACAAAGGCTCAAACATTTGACACTGATGCACTTGATATTCATGGAACTTTTTATATATATGTCACGTTCGTATACCTCAAAAAATGAGGTTCTTCTAAGATCTAATTCTCATTATTATATATGAACAATTTTTTAATTGCTTAAGCTTGTGTTAGACACTCGTATTCAACCGTTACGTGATTTAAATATATCACAATGTTTTGTTGATTTGTGGAATAGCTACTTAAGCACACAGAATGTTTTCTATTATTCTCCGTTCGCATATGGCCAACTATTCTTTACGTTTTTGTACAGTGTCTGCCAATGTTTTACTTTTTAATTGAATTAAAATTTAAGATTAAGATCCTAGGGTGTGTGTGTGTGTGTATGGAGCTCCACTTTGACTTAGTAAACTATTTTTATTTGTTTATTTCAGAAAAAGGATTATAAAAGTATATTTCTTGTTTTTCACGAATTTCTCACTTGGCGAATTTATGAACAGAAAAACAAAGAAAGTCGTAAAGTTATCAGTTTTATATGAGATAACTAAAAGTGTTTATAGGTGTCAGTGTTTCGTTCCTCTTCTAAAATTTCCAACTATAGTTCAGAGAAGTCCCGCACGCAAATGGTGGCGCTGTTTTCTTGCTATATAGATGAACAAGTTACATCTTCTCACAGTAGTACGTAAGAATAGGAACTGAATGGCGTAACTCAGCTCGTCAGTAAATTTCACTCTCGGTTCCCACGGCTGATAGAAACCGAACAATGAGCACGCCACAAGAACAACTGGATGTGTTAGTATCGGTAAGGTCTACAGTACCATGTGCTTCCTTTTGCAAGTAGTTTTGTTTCCTGATACCATTACCTTATAATTGAATTGTATACACTATTCATTAAATGAAATTACAGTGTTTTAAAATATGACGTGATGAATGCAAGTTTTGTTAAAGAGTTTAGTATGTTTTCAGAACAACCACTACAAGAAACACCTTAATTTAACAAGTTTTATTCATATTTACGCCAATGAAGGTTTTAGTCTTTTTTAAGTAATATTTATACTTTATTAATATTAACCCGAAGTTTCATGTGGAAATAGTTGGACAAATATAACAGTTAAAAGTAGTGTCTGAAAAGCTTTGGAGCACGATTTTACTGTGGTGTACCTTTTCTCTGCATATTGTTGTACAATAGAATATGCACAATACTTTTCTTACCTTTACCCTTTATTCCTGAACCCTTGCTCTGTTATTCAACCATCTACCATCATAAGAGTGTTTAATTTTTGGAAGTTTGTAAATCTTCGATTAATCTTCCCCTTTTTTCTTAACGGTTTAAAAAAACAAATCGTAGCAGCAAGCGGACTGAAAATCAAACCAAACTGAAGTTTTCAAACTTGCAATATTTAACTACAGTTAGCAGGATAAATTCTGTTCTTATCTTCATCAGAAATAATCCGAAGAAAAATTTATTTTGAACAATATTACTCACATCCACTTCCTGACTAAAATTAGTCTTTTGAAATAATAGTCACTCTTTGGTTGTTCATTGCGTCGATTCCGACACAGAAAAGCAAGAAGTGAACAGGGTTGTCTGTTTCTTTTTTTTTTTTTTTTTTCACCCTGCAATATTATCGGGAATATTCAAGTCCTAACAAAACATTCACAAATTTACAACGTGGGTAATCTAATGAAGAAAAAAAATTGTGTTCGGACCTGTAATTCCATGTTGACTGTCTATTGGGTGAACTTTATTCTTCTCTTCATAATCGAAAAATTGTGTTCGGACCTGTAATTTCATGTTGATTGTCTATTGGGCAAACTTTAGTGTTCTCTTCATAATTGAAAAATTGTGTTCGGACCTGTAATTTCATGTTGACTGTCTATTGGTGAACTTTATTCTTCCCTTCATAATCGAAAAATTGTGTTCGGTCCTGTAATTTCATGTTGACTGTCTATTGGTGAACTTTATTCTTCCCTTCATAATCGAAAAATTGTGTTCGGACCTGTAATTTCATGTTGACTGTCTATTGGGCGAACTTTAGTCTTCTCTTCATAATCGAAAAATTGCGTTCGGTCCTGTAATTTCATGTTGACTGTCTATTGGGCGAACTTTAGTCTTCCGTTCATAATCGAAAAATTGTGTTCGGTCCTGTAATTTCATGTTGACAGTCTATTGGGCGAACTTTAGTCTTCCGTTCATAATCGAAAAATTGTGTTCGGTCCTGTAATTTCATGTTGACTGTCTATTGTGTGATCTTTAGTCTTTCCATTATAATCGAAAAATTGCTTAGCTTAAAACTGACCTGAAGATTGGAACAAAAGAAAAGTTGAAACTTATTTAGTAAATATGGAACCTAGAGAAAAAATCTGGATTATTCTTATATTTTTCATTGCTAGATCTTATTTTTATCACTCATGTGTTTGCTTTTTATTATATTTTATATAAAACTTAAAGGGTTTTCTGTTTGCCCTTTGGGTCTACGTGCATCCAGTGCTCTGCGATAATTGTCCAACTTATTCTTACACTACTGTTAACATAATAAAATCAATAATTTGTACAAAGATAATTACAAGCTGGGAAGTGCATGTTTAACAGAAATAATTTGGACAATTAGATAAAGAAGAAACATTTCCAAAGCATTCTGAAATTGTTAGTTTTTAAAAAACTAAAATCTATAATTATTTACATAATTAATAATAAAACTGGAAACAAATCATTTCCAATCATAGTAATACTTTAGTGGTTGATCTCAACGATAAATTAAATCTAGGTATCTGATCTGCATATTGTAATTAATTAATTCTAATTACTTCGAAACATGACCTCCGGTATTCTTCAAGCACAGGTCGACGTGATCCGTTTCTAGAATGCTTTCCTATAAACGTTTTTCACTATATAGAAGTTAGGGATTTATGAGGCAATTGAATTTACAATTATGATCTATGGTTGGTAGTTATAAGAAAGTAAATGAGAAGAAACTCATCCTGTACAATATGTTATACTTTGTATTATAAAGTAAGTATTTACGTACTTTATTATTTTATTGATTAGTGTTTTTATTAATAGGAAATCTGTATCATCTTTAGCTTCTCAAAAATGTGTTGGTTTTTAGCACGAAGACAAAAATTTCTAAACAGTTAAGCAAATACCTTGATATTATTTCATTGAATGGAGAAAAAAATGACTTTGAATTAATTTTAACTTCAGAATCTATACCATAAAATTTATTCTAATTAACTACTTATAATTTTAATATGCTCTATTGAGTTATTTCTTTCTGACTCTCTAATTTCCATTGCTAATTCTATTACTCATATTTAAAGTCCCACAGTGGGACAGCGGTAAGTCTTCGGATTTACGAAGATAAAATCAGGGGTTCGATTCCCCCTCGGTAGACACAGCAGACAGCCCGATGTGGCTTTGCTAGAAGAAACATACACACACACACACTCATATTTAAAAATGATATTTTTAATTACTGGTCTTTTATCAATAAAAGTGTTTATTTTTTCCATTAAAAGCAATTTTGGTAATTACTAAACCTATTAACTGTCTTGTACACGTGTAACCTGAGTTACTTACTTTGCTTTTCGGCGAGTCAGTTTCAATTTGCCAAAAATGTATATTATGGAACAGAGGTGGCGTGATATGATCCTGATGCATTTTTTGTTTGTTGTAAGTTGATAAATGTTTTTAATTTATTCAGTAGAGTATAATACAATATTAATATCTAAAAGATAATTAATGAGAAGTGGTTCTATTAAGATCTTTAACAAATACTGTATCAAATAATACGTGTAAAATAAAAACGATTGTTTTACACATAAACGTCCGAGTTTCTTAAAATCTAAATGAATATTACTTTGTTTATATGCCTAACTATGCTTTCAAAAATTACAAGTTTTCTAAAAGTTATAGTTCCTTTCTCTATACTATACAGCAAGTAGGCATTCTAGCGATAAAATAAAAGAAGAATAAACCCAAAATTGAGAAAAGAAAGTTAGAAACTCATTCGCGTTATTCTAAAGAAGGGCCAGTACCCTTCATGTACAGTCTTTTAAAGTAATGGGAAGAAGAAAGAAAAAAGGAAACAGAAGGTTGTCACGGTAATCACTTGAATCACAAACGACGGATGATCTCTAGATACAACAGCATCCAATATCATTAACTGAAATTGGTTGGTTGTTCTTCGTCTTAAAAAAAAGATTCTGTACGTGCTTGGCTAAAAGCATTGTGCGTGTGTTGATGGCACATTCTTTGGTTTACAGATTAATCAAATAATCGATGTGTAGAAGAATAACTGAATACGTTAAATAACTAAACTTAATAAAAACTATGGTTTTTGGACATTATTCTTGGAAATAAGTGATACACAATTAATAAAATATAAACCACATGAAAAATGAATTTTAAAGTAAAATAATGGGTAAATGAAGTATCGGAAAGTTTCTGTCGTGAAACTAATATTTTATACCCTGAGTATACGAGTTATTTTTTGTTGTAGTTTTTTAGTTTCGCTGCAAAAGCTTCCTTTAACTGAGCCTTTGTTTGATAATTGTAGATAGAAATACTGATTTATTGTGCACTCATTTTTTGGATGATCACAGACTCAAGTAGTGATAAAAAATAATGCCGTAGAGAATGTTTTCGTCACGCCATTTGTAGAGATTTCAAATGCAATCCCTTTTTTTTTTTTTTTTGCTTCTTCTTCACTTTCTTACTCAAGCGACGGAAAAAACATCTACAAATCTTTATGTTTTCGTCACACTAATTATACGTTCTACTTCTTTGAGGCAGATAATGCATGTACATATGTATTATAGGGTAAATATATATATTTTGATTTTCATCCAAAACATGCTAAACGTAACGTTCTTGTTTCTTTTACTAAAATACTTTATACCATTATTAGAAATTCTGATAGAAATGAGGAAAGGTTGAAAAAGTTAAGTAAGTTTTTGTTTGTCAGGAAAGAGTTAAGTAAGTTTATGTTTTTGGTTGTCATTATTTTTATGTTTAGACGCTATCATTTACCTAATGAAAAGTTCACGAAGTTCGTAACTATTGAAAATCTAATTTTTTAGTAAGTTTGTTATTCCAGCTATACCTAGGTTTTTGTGAATGTCGAACATCAGTTTCAGCATGTAGATGATAATGAATGTTGTTCTGATTATCAATGTCTACAGGTTTATGTATATATTCAACCCCAGCTTCAACAGGTTTCCTTCGATATTGAGTGCTCCATACTGATTATCCCTGTTCGAGGGTTTATGTTCATGTCTAACATCAATAGATGTCAGATGCTTTATGTAGCGGTTTCACAACTGAAATACATATATTTGCAGCTAGAAACAGAGAAATGTAGCAGGTGTACAACTGAAATATATAGTTGCTAAGAAACTGTGTTTAAAAAATTGTTTACTTGTTTACATAAAAATTGGTTAAAATAATTTCCGGACACTCTGCATCCAGTGCATTGAGTGCTTTATATTAAAACGAGATTAAATATGCAAGCCAACAAGATACTTGGCAGTCGTGGTGGAACGGAATGTATCAGAACTACATTTTGATATTGTTTGGCGTTCATAAATATTGTGATTTCACCGAAAATTGATGAATTTTGGGAAGGATATGTAACAGCCCTTTCCGACGCAAAATATTCATACACTGAGATGATAAAGATGTGTTCAGTTCGGGGATTTAGAATTTCCATGACGGGGATATATCTTCTACTTATTAACATTGGAAAACAAGTAATATGGATCAACCTGGGTACCAGGACCATCCAGAAAGAGACCTAAAGC